AAGAAAAGACTGACCAAAAAATTAAAAAAAAATACTATTTAGATATCTATATATAATTATATTAAATAAATATATAAAATATTATAAGTGAGAGTATATTATATTAAATATGTATTTGATAAGTAACAAAATTTATCCATGATATCAGAAAAAATATATTTTTTTTAAAGATAATATGTTTAAGTTCAAAGCATATTAAATATAAAAAATTAAATTTTGAATCGAAAGTTCTATAAAAATTTGTAACGCTAACATATTAAAGTATTATATTATTTAAAACAGACTTTCCTTAAATTTCATTGCTTTCACAGCCAATTTGGTCTAACCGAAAAAGAGGAATATTAGGTTTCAGTGTACTTCGTCTAGCTAAACAGGCAGCAAATCCAATATGATGCGAGCCTCCGACTCGGCGAGTCTGTGAGCCTGGGCGCGCTGTCTCTGGGAGGGACAGTTTGCGCGGGGCACGTTGCAAACTCACGTACAGCTGCTGTCTGATAGCTGCGAGCGATATTTTCAATGCGCTGTCGGTAAAAATTACGCACATTTAGTTAGTGCTTGGTCCGATGATGTTTTCAGCGAGTTTCTTGGCCAACGATGCCAGCGGCAGGACATGAATATTTTAAAAATTCGCATTGCTCTCAACGCAGTCCTGTACGTGGGCAGCAGCAGCATCAGCAGAAGATTGAAGATGCTGCAGGCGGCAAGAAAGGGACAGGAGGAACGCACAATGAATAATTTAAGAGCAGCAGCAGGAGATATGATGGCAGGCGGAGAATAAGGCCGTCAAATAAATGCCAAATGAGCAATCAAAGTGCCATGAAGGACTAACTAAGCAGCGCCTCCTACCAGCGTTCAACTTTGCCGCTTGATGAGGGGCTGTAAAAAATGATGTACACGAATAAACAGCAGGTGGGGGACGGCACAAATAGCAATGGAGCGCGTAAACAGCAAATAAAACGCTGACAATATTTCGCAACATAAATAAAGGAAACCCAATTTTAAAGTGTCTACAAATCGAAGAGGAAAACTGAATTATATTATAGATTTAAGTTAAGCAACTCAATGGAACTTGGCAAGCTCGATGCTCAATTCTCGCTGTGCGAAGAGACAAAAACTTATTATAAGCCAAAGCCGCATCAGCTGCGCCCAGGGGGTAGAGGGCGGCAGATGGTATGCAGGCCGGGGGTACTCTCAGTTATTGTCTCAGCCATATCGTCGATATATAAGTAATTGGTATGTACAACTGCGCCTGCTGCTCGGCTTGCCAGTTGCTGAGAGAAATGCGGTTATGAATTCCTGAACAGAGCAACGGAATACGAGTAGGGGAAGCGGCAGTACGGGTCGGGGTTGTGGGTATTGCAATAGCTGCACAGAACTTTTATTAAAAACTTGTGCAGTATGCGAGCTGTGTCGAGTCGATGCACAGAGCGCGCTGATATATATATATATATATAATAAAATATAAAAGGCTAAATAAAATGAGAAACTTTCATAAAACATTTGTGACTTTCGCAATTTTTTATGGCTGCAACTTAAAGTTATCTCTCCCATCTCTTGGCCCCCTTGGCTTTGTCGGTATTCAGTTGGTGCTGGCTCAGGGAAGAGCGCGGCGAGTGCTAGAATTTATCGCATGACACACTAAGACGGGTCTTATGTAGTTATCGAAATGGGCCAATGCGCTCAAGTGCATATATTGAATGGGGGCGACCATCAAATCGATTACTTACGAGCTTCTCCTCCACGACGTGTTCCTGCTTTCAGCTTAGTATTTACGGCTCACGGTTCATGTTGCTAACGAAAGAGGTGTATTAAAATAACATTTCACGACTCTGTCGTTGGGGAAAACAATGTGTTCTGATTTCAAATCAATGCTGTTTTTACTGCAGCTGCTGATTACTCATCGATATATGCTTAATCGATGATCGATAAGTAGATATGTTGCAGTTCGATTGAATGTGAAAGGGAAGAAATGTTGGTTGAGTATTTATTTTGTTAACTTATATTTGAATACAATATTTTGAAGGACTTCAACTACGCTGGAGTATTTGCTAATATTAGCTCAGTTGATTATCAAAATCTGCACCCTTATAATTTCTTTTAAATATATTTTATGTTTCATTAAGGTTACTCTTAGTTCTAATTAAGATTTTACGCAGAGTTCGTAAATATGCTCACATTTCTCCATATTTTAGTTGAAATAACTTTTTGGAAATTTACATTCCAATATAAACTTATCGCTTTGTCTAGATAAAAGGCATACTTGCAGCTGCAACATTGTGGTAAGGAATGTGGCAAACCAAAGCCACTTAAAGTCAAAATTTCACAAATCTCCAGCAAACGAGTAGGCCAAATAAACAAATTTTGCGTTATCGATGCGAGAGTCTAATGACCCACTGACTGCTGACTCTTCAGCTGCGTCTGGCCTGCTACGCACACATGGACATTGGCTTAATGAAACTCAATATCTTTGAGAATTTAGTGGGCATTGTGCAATGCACAAGCTTCAACCGATAACTGCCTGAGGGGGCGGTAAGTGCGCAGAGGCGCATAAACTCAAAATGATGCCAGAAATATGGGCAATTTGTGTGTGTGGAGTCGTACGTGTGTAGCTGCCACTCGTTTACTTGGCCAAAAGCCAATTTTAGCCAAAACGCATGCCAAATTTACCAATAACAAAACGAAACGAGATACGAAAAATAGCTAAATATTTTATGATATCGATAAGGCAGGCGGGCTGGGACTACCCCACCAGAAAAACTGCAGCCAGTGCACAATTCTCAGCACTCAAAACGCAAAATACATTTGCATGGAGCTCTGCTCCGTTGCCTTTTGCTTTTTTCCAAAAGTAGTTCAGCAGTGGCAGCTGAGCGCATTGACAGCCCATACAAATGCGTTGCCATACTAAGCCCCCAGAGAAATTCACTTTGTTTAGCAATCGCACATGTGCACCGGCTATCCCCAAGAAACACAAAGTTTTGACTTTTTCAATGCAAACTGATGACTCTTAGGTAAAAACTTTGTAGCAAAACGGGCAGGTTTTATAAATACAATAGCAGCTTTTCATACTGCAACTATGGTAGACTCATGTCGAAGATATTTGGGATAGTGTAAAAAAGTGCCTTAGTTAGGTAGCCTCTACTCTAAACTATGATTATATATTGTTAAATAAAACAATACTAAATTAGTAAGGAAAGTTTAAGGGTATCTACAAGTTGTAAACAAAAAGGTTCTGCAAATAAATGTATTCAATTTAATGATTGCCTAATATTGAATGAATAATGCCTCATAAATAACAGGGTATTTGTAATTCGTTCTTTAACTTATACGCTTGCATTTTTAGGTTTTTGTTGCCATTTTGTATTTTTGAACTATGTCGTAGAGGGAGAGAGAGAGAGAGAGATAGAGAGAGGGGCGCAGGAAGTTGAGTGCGGCTTTGGCCAACGGGATGCAAAGTTTCATTGTTACTGCGGCTCTTGTTGCTCTTCTTGCTGCTGCTGTCACATTTCTCAGCAGCGCCGAAAAGTATGCCGCTGCTTTGGCATTTTCGCCGCACTAAAGCTCTCAAGCTAAGAAACTCACCTGCATGAAGTTGGCTCGGCTGGTTGCCGTTGCCGGCGCTGGCAGCGCCGCTCTCAGCGCCGCTCAGCGAGATGCTGGCGCGTTTCTTCCCCCGCCAGACACTGACACCAAAGCACTCCGCACAGCAGCAAAAGACAAAGCCCAGTATCAGCAGTATCCAGGCGGTGACCATCAGCACAATGGTCGATGTGGAACGGTAAGTGTAATTTTCCTGGTCGTACAGCACCAAAATGTCGCTACTGTGATTGTTGTTGTTGTCGTTGTTGTTGCTGCCAATGCTCACATTCATGCCGTTACTGCTGCTGTGGCTGTGAATACTTTGCAAGTCTGGTGAGTAAACGTTGTCGGCATTCGATAGCGCCGCGAAACTGCTGCCCACCACATGGAGGAGCGGTTGCATTTTGGCCAGATGCGTATATGTGTTATTTGACATTTTGGCATCAGCGTTGGCAGCAGCTGGTGCACTCCACTCAGCGACTCACACGGAACACTTAATCAATCAGTTCAGTCGATCAATTTGGCAATTTATAACAACTGCAGAGGCAATGATGAAATGTGACTTTTTTTCGACACTCGCGACAACTGTCAACTAGGCGACTGCGACTGGACGTGCAACTGGCTTATTACGAGTATCAAGAGCACCGTCTACGCTGGAACGTTGTTTGGTTTGTTTGTGTGCGTGAAAAATTAACAATACCAACAACTACAATAACAACAACAGCAACAGCAATGCTGGCAGCGACTAACGCCGCACAAAAATTTTGTTTTCGGTCGCAATCTTTATTATCACCATGTGTATTTTAGCAGATAGATCGGCGGACAAACAGACAGACGAATATACAGAGAGCCAGATAGAGGTGTGTGTGCCAAAGCGTCTGGCTTTCCTCTCTGCATCGCATCACGTTTTGTTTACATGCGAGAACGTCGACGCTCTGTTTGCTCTGTGGTAGACAAAGCGCCAGAAACAGCTGAGCTGTGGTGAATATGCAGATGTGTCTAAGCTAAGCGTGCGTGGTGAGTTAAGCTGAGTTAAGAAAGTTGCAAGTGAGTAAGTGTTTAACAGCTTTCTAGGTAGACAAAGAGAGAGAGAGAGAGAGAGAGAGAGAGAGAGTGTTGAGTGCTTAACAGATCTTGCAAGCTATGCACTTGACTGATAAGCGTCAGTGTTGAATATTGTGTGCGAATTAGTGGGGCTATAGAATATAATTGACACGCAGATACGCAGGAAAATTCCACAATTAGATATTATTCGAGTCAACAAAGTGGAAGCTGTTCTCGAACTTTCGCCAATGCTAACTATTGAACAAGTCAGGTAGATAAAATAAGGGCATTTGTTATTCTTCTTGAATATATTTTAATAACTTGTACAATGCAATACATTTCTTAGCTTATTAATTTTTACGGTAAGACACAAATATCTTCTCTCTTTTTTGTGACACGCTTATGACGTGAGTACCTTTCGCACATTGTCACAGGTTACAGATCTACATTTAACCAAAGTTACTGAAAGTAATTGAATATTGAAATATATTATTAGCTGATTAAAGTAAAACTTTTAATTTTCTGAACTTACATTCACAGGTGGCACGGTCCAGATCGCAGCGAGTAATATTCTTCCATTGGCGCCTAATTCTACGACAATTGGCATTGAAAATGTTTGTCACATCATCGTCGGGTCCTCTTCTGGGCTGATGCGAAAGACACTTTTCGGTCAGCCTCTGGCAGATCCTTTTATTCTCATTTGCTTGAACATGAATTTGCATCAGGCACAAGCAGAAGAAAGCTATGGGAAAGAATCGGTTGATATTATCCCAGAGTCGGATAGCCTCCAAAACTTACTCAACAATATCAGGACTTTTGACATGATTACTAAGTAGTGGAACTCGAGATGAACTGTAGGTAAACTAGGCTAAGCTACAAGGTATTTATAGTCGAATCGAAGATAAGGAAGTCAATTTGGGGCTTTGTTAATAACTCAGCTGTGAACCAGATGTCTTATTATGTAAGTCTGAAATTGTATGCAAAACAATGCAATTTATAATACCTTAACTTAACTTTCTTTTCAGTTCATTGAATATATTTGGGGAATATTCTTAATCAACATTGTTTGATGTGCGCTCTAAAGAACAGCTGTTCCTGACTGTCTAAAGCATCTATAGTTCGTGCTGCCTATATAAGCCAACTCGAAAGTGCAGTTGAGTACAAGTAGCTGACTATAGAGATCGCATAATGCAAATTCAAATTATTCTCGCCTTCCTCCTGATTGCCTGTTTTATGGGCATCAACTCACAGAGGACCGATTGCGATAAGATCTACAAAGCCTGTGTGTCCTGTCGCAACAGTAAGATGAACACAACTGAGCTAAATAATCTGTGCCGCAAACAGATTAGGGACGTCATCTGGAGAAATCAAACGCAATGTGATTTGCAGCGGATTTCCTGCAGAAGTAAGTTTATCACAAAAAAAATCTTATTTAAATTGTAAATAAATATATTCTCTTTCTAGATCCTTGCCAGAAATTGAACTGTCGAAACATTGCCAAAGAGGCTAAAATGCCGCCCAGGCGCACATAGTCTGGCTCCCATCTGTACGGCCTCAAGACATCATCTTAAGTAAAGAGTAAGCTGACGTAACAGGCATGTGGCATTCCGAATGCTGTTGATTTAATTAAAATAAACAATGCAATACATTTCAATATGCTTTTAATACAATTGTGTGAGTCCTCAAACTGAAGTGCTTTTTAAATACTTGTAACGGTTTAAGCTTTTATAACAGGCGCCCAACACAGACCAACACAGTCCAGCCCAAAACTCAAAACCCAAACCCACTTCAGCGCACGTCATGAACATGATTATGTACTTTATGTATGTGCAGTCAAGACAAGTGGAAGAAAGACAGAGAGAGAGAGAGAGAGAGGGAGAGGCAGAGAGAGAGAGAGAGAGTGTTAGACAGTGTGAGAGTGGCAGAGGGAGAGCGAGTGAGTGAGAAATATCAATTACAAGATATACATACCTTAAATGCTCTGTTTTTCTTACCTTTAAATATTTATGTTTCGATAATTCCATCAGAAGTTCTTCAAAATGTAACACAAAGCTCTAATCGTACTTAAGCTGTGATTGCTGATATCATAAATTGAATATTACCCCGATTCACATTCAAGTGAAAAGTTGGAACGCTGCCAGCTTGATGAGCTAGCCATTGTGCCCATTGTGCAGAGCATAATGAAATGGCTTTAAGCCGTTGCGGCTAGGTGGGGACAGCGACTGCGACTGCTGGCCAACTGCTTATATAATACATACTTGTGTATTTGAAATTGAAAATCTTTTGGCGCTGCACTTGAAAAATGCTTAGGACCGGGCCATGGATGATGAACTTTATAAAATTCTTGACCACATTTGCAGCAGCACCACCACCCTTTGAGCCATGTCTGACCAGCTGACGGCAGCTGCTTGGCTAAAGAGCGGCAGTTTGGCGGGGTGGGGGATAGAGAATTGCACTTGACTTTAGCGCCACTTGTAAGTGTAAATTTTATTTGAGCCAACCAAGTGTTATAGATGTAGCTACACATATATATACACACGGATGCATACATGTGTACATTTGGCCATGCCCTTTGTGAAGTGTTCAAGTGGCTGCGCTGGTTATTGGCAGAGGTCTGCGAGCTCTTAGGACTTCGTCCCGCCCGGCTGGGATCTGTTGCAGTTGGCGTCGTGTCGTTGACAGCTAAGTGGTGATAATCGCTTTTGAATTGAATTTGGAGCAAGTAAATTTTACACGCAGCAGACAAAGTTGAAATTCAAAAGTGCAACACACTCACACACAGATCTCTTACCCAGTCGCCAGCTGGACACTAGACAAAAGGCTTCAGTAGCTCAGTCAGAGCACAGCCTCATGGCCCATAGGACGTTGGGGGCTTTACTTTTTATTTTTGGGTGTGGCTTTGTGGCTTGGCGGAGGCGAAAACTGATTTTCCAGCTGTTGTTGCTGTTGTTGTTGTAGCTGATGTAGTTGCGGTTCCGCCCTGCTGCTGCTGTTGTTCTTGTTGTTGTTGTTGCTGCTGGCTTTGCGGTTTCTAATTTGTAAACTAGATTTGGGGCTTGGGTTAGCACCCAGCCGAGTTTGTAAGTCATTTCATCAAATTGTCTTAAATTTGTAAATTTAATTTGCTAAAAGCTGCGCGTAAAACAATAGAAAATTGAGTATAAAATATTCCCTAGAGCTTTCAAAAGGTATTTGAGGACTCATTTAATATTGAATGAAATGAGTCTACATTCTCATAGCTTTATATTTATTATGTATTGCCTTCATGGCTTATTAAAATACTATTAAAATAGTATCAAAGCTTTTAAAATTATATAAAATACATATTTGATTTTTATTAGTCTATTTCCCTCTCCCTATTTCTTTCTCTATTTTAGTTTAAGCTGCTAAGTAGATAAACGTATCGAAAACAACGTAATTTATATGATGACCATAATCTTGTAGTAACTTTTATACTCGGCTTTATTCGTTTGTGGCAGAGATTCATTTGGTTGCTTGTGCAGATTTTTAGTATAAAAGCGCATTGTGCTGCGGCAGTAAACAAGTGTCTTCGACTTATTTCTATAAATCTTGTCTGGCGCACAAATTTGCCCCGCTGCCAGCTATACCGGGAATCAGCTGCCAAGCTTGGTGCATCATTCACGTACTTGGCATTACCATAAAACCCAGACACAGACCCAGTCGCAGACACAGACTTGCTTACAGCCACTGGCACTGGCACAGGCACAGAGCCAGAGCAGCTTCGTCATCGTCAGCGAGCACGCACAGCATCAGCAGCAGCATCAGCATCGGCATCATCTTCAGCATGGTCACATTATCGTCATGCTGCTCCGCCGTCCACTTGATGCATCCTATGCCTCGCTCCAGTTGAGGAGCACTTCAAAATTTTTGACATGCGCTAGCCCCAAGATTTTGACTGCCTGTCTGTGGCTCTGTCTGTATCTCTATCTGTGTGAGTGCGATAAATTTACCAAAAAACATAATTTTTCACACGAAATTGTTTTGATTTTTCGGGATGCCATAAAAAAATTGAAATTTATCACTTCTCAACTAAGCTGCTGCGCAAGTAGAAGGCATTTAACTAAAAGGACTTTATCTAAGACCAAGTTTTAAAAAGTTTATTTTCCTTTTGTTTCAAAACTAAATTTTGTGTGTGTTTTTCAACATGCAACTTTAAATATTTGTCCTAGCCAAATACGACAAGGGATGCCTGCCCTGAGGCGGACGACACAAGCAAATCTTGATGAGCTAATCATTTTTAATTATTGCCCAATTCCCTGTTCAAAAATAATTACGAGCATGCCGCGGGGCAGCATGTTGAATAACAACATAACTAAAATCTAAATCAATTTAATGCCATTTCCTTGCCCCACCTGACTGCACGTAGCAACTGCCGCGTGCCACGTGCCAAACAACAACAATAACAATCCGGCAGTTGCCCTGCATACATTTATAGCACTCGAAGCCAAAAAATTTCATTACCAAGCTGCATGGCACGGGGCGGGGTCGGGGGCGGTGTCGCGGGCGGGGTCCTGCCCCTTGGCGGTGAGTCAATTACAGAAAGGAAGCTGTTTTGGCGCTTCCCAAACAAACAGGCGATGACGTCGTTCGCAATGGAGACAGTCGCATCGGATGAGAGTGCGACGGTTGGCGGAGGGGCCAAGGGAAGTTGTTATATAGTTGCTTAATATTTATCTAGCATCGGTAATCAGCTAACGCAGCTCTGACATGTGTCGTGGATCTTGATAAGGGGGCAACCCCAAAGAGTCCAAATCCAAATCTGAATCCAAATCAGGCCCTGTTTCGATGAGTTTTTAATAAACTGTCAGTTAATAATAAAATGTTCAGTAAATTAGATTACGCTCGATGAAAGGGTAGCTGCTGCTGCTGCTGTTAGGCTAGGGAGGTTCGATTGCAGTTCAAGAATTTTTCATATCGCTGACACATTTCAAGCGCCACGCGCTGAAACTTTTAGTTTAGGTGCTCGGCAGCAGAGCCAAGTGTGAAATTTGGCAGCTTGTTATGGGACGGACGGACAGACAGCAGAGTCGGCGGGCAGAGCGAGGAGTAGTTGGAGCGATGGCCGGACGACCCCAATCATGTAGCAGCTTGTAAAACTGCAAGCGTGAAAAGCAAATTGGAAAGTTGTTCGTGGCTGAGTTTTGAAAGGCTGTTGATTTGAGAATTCTTAAAAAAGTTGAAACAACTTGTTAACGAATTCGATTGGGCTAAGACCAGCTTTAGAGCTCTGCAGTTGCTTGATTTTTAGAAGTTTATGAAAAACTATAAGCTGTTGGAATATAATTGAACGAAAGTTTCAAAATATGAAAAGATGTTGAGGTTGAAATGGAGTAAACAAAATTGTTGCAATTATGCTGTGTATATGGATAAAGTTCCAACATATTTCGAAATCGATTATTAGATCATTTAGGGCTTCTTAAACTAATTCTCAGCAACTATTCACTTTTAGCATTCCAGTTTATTCTCTACATTGTTCTGAACTCATCGTTTAAGCCCTTACATATCTCTTTAAAGTTAATTTGGTAACCCTTCTATGAGTTATGAGGCCTTTCGGTTGAGACAATATACAATGCCGTCTAGTGGCTGACGGCAAACCCACCCATTAGGCCACCCAACCACCCGCTTGCAAGCCACCCCCATTTTGATGCCTCCCACATGCTCCCGCATGCCCACGCAAATAGCCCCAGCTCTCGCTGGGGCATAACGATGGCACGTTTTGTTGCAATCCCAATGAGGAAATGCTAATCCGCATGTAATATTCGAAAATGATATGAAAATGCCAAACCAAACAACCACCCAACGAAATTGCCGACCAAAATCCGAAATCCGAACTAGGGTTCAGGCCATGGGCGCAATGCCAACATTACTCAATGTCAACATCAAAATTGCTTTGGAATTCATGCATTCAGTGGCTCATTCCCCCATTCATTGCGCCCGTTGCGTTAAAAAACTAACGCCAAGCCCGCAGTATAGAAATTTTCATTTTGTATCTCACTGAATTTTAATGCCGCTGCAGAAAGTGCCGTAGTGCCAGGGGAATCCGGCGGATGGTTACTGCTCCGGTCCCTTAAATAGCTGCGCAGGGCGCTGATTAAAAGTGGCAACCACGATGGCCATGGGGTTGAGTTCCTTTTTGTTTTGTTTTTTTTTTTGTGTATTTCTTTTTGGTTTCGTGTTGCACAACCTTTTCCATTTCCATTTGGTTCCACGTTCACGTGGGGGTTGTCATCTAAGGCTGCTGCACTTGTTTCCTTGCCATGACCCAAGCGACCGAACATGCCGGCGAAAATTTCGTCACAGACGTTGGCGTGAAATTTCGAAACGAATTCTCTAAACAACAACAACAACAACAACACACACAACAACAAAGCTCACGAAACTCGTAGCGAATGTGTCTCATTGTAATTTTTGTAATGTTTCAGAATTTGTGTGTTGCATGGAAAGGAAGTTTGTTTTTGTTTAAAAATTATTAGAATTCAGTTGGTTGTTGTGGGGGGCGCCTGCCGGGGCTGTGGCATGGGCGGTGGTTGCACAGCAGCTGGTGCCCAGAATGTGACCGGCATTTGGCCGCAATGTGGTCGATGTTCAAGGACTTGTCTACGTAGCAGTTACTCATAAGCGGAG